AACCGTTACTAGATTAGCAGCAACAGAAATGCTAGTAAAAATACACAATTATGTGAAGCTGGAAAAATTAGAATACTGTGCAAAATTACATTTATTTCTGTAATTTAACTAGACTGAGAGACCATTTAAAGGCTCGGGAACCTTTACAGGTGTTTCTATTTGCAATTTTAAATTTTAGCTGATTGGGTTCTTGTTAAATATCACACAGTGACCTTTTAATAGTCTAGATTAGTGTAATGCTCTTGTTAGTAGTTCCTCCTGTTAAGCGCTTATTTGTTTAAATTATTCAGGTTTATATAAAACATTTGGACATACATTTTATTATCTTCAGTCATTAGTCATTTATATTTTACTATTGTAGTAATTCTTGCATTCTTTAATGAAAAAAGTAACTAAGTAGTTACTTTTGTTGGTAATTAGTTACTTTTATGTAACTGAGTTACTTTTTTGACAAAGTAATCAGTAACTATAACTAATTACTTTTTTAAAGTAACGTTCCCAACACTGGTTGTTCTTCACTTTATCAAACTCAGACTTTGTACAGCTAATGTCAAGATGTAAAATTATGAATTCAGTCGAGCTCTTCCGTCCCTCCCTCTCCTGCTCTCCTGGAAACCCGACATCGGCTGTCAGAAGCGGGAGGGGAAGAAGGAGATGAGGCAAACAGAGTGAGTGCGACATAAAGAAACCAGACTGGTGTGGAGGTGAGCAAAACAGCTGGAAAAGTGTGGGTGTTGAATCCCCCACGGGTGCGATGCCCATGCGAGCGACTGGTACCGGCTGCTGTCACCTGTTGTGAGCAGCTCTCTGCTGTCTGAGGGTAGGCCCCGTCCACAACGCTGCGGCCGCTGTGGCTCCCAGTGTTTACTTTACTGTGGGAAACGGGTAATAATGGCTCTTTGATGGAAACAGGTTGCCGACCCCTGGTATAAGATCTGAGCTGATAAAACAAAAATCCTCATCAGCAGGCATTTTTTTAAAGTGGGGGGGGACACAGCTGCCAATCACAAATTTTGCCGGGGACATGTCCCCGGCGTCCCCGGTTAAAATTACGCCTGGGAGGGGGGGGGGGGGGCACAGGTTCTCACACTCTGTTGACTTCATGAATATTCATCAAAGGCATGCTATATATCAAAAATCAAAGGATTTTCTGCAAAATTTCAGATACTCATTCACAATTTTACTTTTGCAAAATGTTATTTCAATAAGTATAAAGCATTTGCATGGATGAAAGCTAAGATGAAGGCTGAAAAACTTCAAAGGCGTACATTTGTTTTGCAAAACAAATTCCTGCAGAGTCGAATTTTGTTTACATTCAGTAGGGACAGCTTACACAGGTGCACCAATTGACTAAAAGTACATATATGAGACTCAGATCAGGATTCATTTCTTTAAACCGCAACCATGAGAAGAAGTTTCAACGTGAATGAAGCCCTGGAGGTGTTTCAGCAGCTTGAAGATGAGGGGAAGTCAGTCAGGAGGGACCGCAGCAGAAGCCGACCGTAATCATCGATTACAACCGCTGCAAAGGGGCAGTTGACAACTTGGACAAGGTAATTTATTTATTTTATTTTATCATAATTCACCAACCTAATTGCATATGTAATTTATTTATTCATTTATATTTATTCTAGCTCATTGCAACATACAGCTGCCGTCGCAAGACCAGACGTTGGCCCATGTCGCTCTTCTGCAACATGTTAGATGTGAGCGCCTACAATGCCCTGGTCCTGTGGCTGTTTGTGGAACCGGCCTGGAACCAGCAGAAGAGGAGCATATGCCGAAGGCTGTTCTTGCAGGAGCTTGGGAGCTCCATGGTGAGACCAGCCCAGGCGAGGCGCACTCGCTTGCCGCGGTCCAGCAGCGCTGCAGCTTGGTTGCAGGTGCAGCAGCAAGCAGACAGCTCCAGCCCAGGAGCAGACAAAGAAAAAATGCCACCTTTGCAGGGGGAAGAGGAGCGTGCATGCACGCTTTTGCCAAGCATGTGGACAGGCTGTGTGCAAGGAGCACTCAACAGTTGTGTGCGAAGCCTGCAGCTGTTAGCTCACTCCCCTGTGTGTTTCTCTCTCTCTCTCACACACACACACACACACACACACACACACACACACACACACACACACACACACGCACACACACGCACACACACATACACACACACACACACACACACACACACACACACACACACACTTTTTTTTGTTCGTGTGCTTTAATAAAGTGTTCAACTGGCCATCTTTGTAAGTGCCTTTTTTGTGCCCTAATGACTAACGTGAGTATTTTAGAAAATATGACATCACACAAAAACTACAAAGTAAGCAAAAGATATTTTTATGCCTATTTGTGACACTCCAAGGCTGTGACAACTTACCCACAAAAAAGGTCATCTGGACATAACACACAAAAAATGATTTGATTTTTTCATTTTTTTTGTACAGTTTTCAAACTTCGGGTTTTGCTAATAAACCTAGCAATGAAGGGGTTAAATCTGAGAAACACACACATGTTTTATTATATTTTGTTAGGGCTGAAGCCAAGGATGAAATTCATGTAAAAAAAATTGGGACTTATGAAATATTATATAATATTTCTATGGGAAGCTTTCTAAGTGCATTTTTGTGCTCCAATGACTTTAACGTTAGAAAATTTAAACGTTGGGTAAGGGTTAAACAAACTTGTGCTTTCTGAGCTTTGTGCACAACTCCACTATTTCCTGAATTAAGCACAGCTCTTTTATTTCCTGTCTTACATTATTGGACAAAGGGATTAATCCACGTGTGTCTGACTATTGGCACGCTGCCTTGCAGACCAAGGTTGAAAAATACTGCATTAAATTGCACATAAAATAACATGATCATATATGGTCCACATCCACATTACTGTTTGTGAAACTAACATACTGGAGAATTTCATCACAATAATATTAAATAAACAAGTATGTACCTGATCTTTTGCATACTGTTGGTGAAGCTCTGGATGACCCCTGTGATGGAGACAGAGTCAATGTTCCTCTTCTGCAGCTGGTTGAACAGCATGTCCACATGTGCATGATCTTGTGACACAATGCCAGCAGAAAGCCGAAATCTTCTTCCTCCAGCATTCTCACAAAGCCTCCTGCCTCTCTCTCAGTGATTGGATCAAAGTCATCTGAGTCTCTGATCATCTGGAAAAATGTGAGGAGGTCATCCTTGTGCTCATACACTGTGTTGACATCTCTCTCTTGGACAAAATGTGCCGGTTCTGATCCACTTCTTCATTGTGTTTCTTCACTGCAAGCCTGCGTCCCTCGTCTCTAGCTGCATGGCAATGTTAGCTCTGCCTAGCATAGCTAGCTTCACCGTGTTGTCCATGTGCGCCCGGGATGACTCGTGTTTCTTCACCTTCTCAGAAAAATGTTTCATGTCCGTAACTCCTGACTCAATCCATGCCTTATCTGTCCCAGTCGTTTTGAATAACAAACACGAAAAGCAAAATAATGCATTAGCGTGATTGCATCCAGCTAGCCAAGCCTTCCCAGAAGCCTGGTGTGTACAGTTTACCTCTCTCCTCCTCCTGCTGGCTTATCTTTACGTCGGGCTGATCTGGTACAAGCTCTTTGACATTAAGTTTTTCCACCATAGTTCTCCTCTCGAACGGATACTGGAGAAGAGACCGAACTGAATTCAGCGGCTGCTGAGATCCGGTATCCATGCTGCTTGTATCACTGGTGTCCATCTGCGTCACGACCAACAACGTGCTGAGTAGTCGAGACTCTCCGAGTTCTACCGAACAGCAACGAAAGCCTTTGGCGGTAGCTCTATCGCCCATCATGCTTCTGAAACAACGTTGACGCTGATTGGATACATTCCCATTCCTACCGTTTGATTTTCTTGTCAGCAATTGGCGGACTGCTTTCGTGCTGTTTGGGCGATTGAAACACAGCCCACAGCCTTTCTGTCGGCTCCACAGCTCGGCAGAGAGCTTCTGACCAATATATATATATACAAATATATATATATATATATATATATATATATATATATATATATATATATATATATAGATATAGATATATATCTATATATATATATATATATATATATATATGATTTGTTTTTGTTACAAAACACACAATTAACTTAGAATATGTGATTATTGTTAATTTTATTTATTTATTTATTTATTTAAATAAAAATTAAAATACTGGGGAAAACTGGGAGGGCGACGCCCTATCGCCCTCTACTGGCCAGCTGCCACTGACCACATTGTCTACAAAAAGCAGAGAGCTGATCCACAAGCCACCAAGAAGGACCCCTCAACACCTTGGCTGCACCTAGAAAAGCTGTCCATTAGAGTTATGAACAAAATCAGTGATGAAGGACAGCCTTGGCAAAGTCAAACTCTCACCGGGAATCAGCCAGACTTACTGCCGGCAATGCGGACCAAGCTCTGGCATTCATCATGGCCTGTTACCCCACACTCTCGGAATACCACAGGATTCCCCAAAGGACACAGTCAAATGCCTTCTCCGAGCCCACAAAGCCATATACTGGTAGGGCGAAATACCGCACACCCTCTAGGACCCTCCTACGGAGCAGCAGCAACTCTAGCTACTCCAAGCTAATCCCAGATAATGGAGCTTCTCAGTTTATAGCAGCCTGAATGGGGGAGGGGTGAGCAAGGCCAGCTCCAGCTTGTTTTTTTCTGGAAGGTACTGAAACTGTCAAGAATATAACTACTGAGATGCTTTATGTGAGAGGGATCTAGTGCAAACAACATAAACATGTTTGTCACTGACCACAGGTTAAGAAAAAAGTGTCCTTGTGTCTCCTGTAAGGTATTATATTTGCACTTTTTTAGTTAACTTTTATGAGACATTAGGAAAAACAGACATTTGATTTTCTCAAAATATGAATAGAATAAAAAAGAAATTGCGTCTAAAATTTTGTCATCTGTATTATAAATAAGTGAATATGTCAGTAATGTATTTTCTGGACGGAGAATAAAACTGTCAAAGCGATCAAGGATGTAAATAGCTTCACCAAAAACGAATTTATCTTGAATAGATGAGATCAAATGAATTTGCTCCAGATGTCTGACAGTTATAGTTTCACCTCCTTGCTGTTCCGGTGACCATTTGCGGAGACTTGACGTTGGCGCACGGAGAGATGCTGCGCTGTGTCTAATAGATGCGGAGGGTATAGGAGACGCTCACTGGGCTGGAGCGCGCCCCGAGAGCAGGTCGCTTATACGGCAGATTTCCATCTAGCACTTGGATTAAAACAGCAACGCTCTCTGCTCTGGAGAAAGCTCCGTGTTTTCGCTGTAAGTCACGCTTACGCAGAAAAGACTCAAGTTTATTTTTATTATTTAACTTCGGGAATGGAGACATTCACGGTCCCGGGAGCTCAGCTGTCTCTGGGTGACCTTTACTCCGTCATCCCCTTCAACGTAACATTCCCGGACGAGGAGAGCGGCTCCACGCGCAACTCCACCGAGCAGCAGGCTTCGGCGAGGAGCGCAGGGGCGATGGTCATGGCCGTGTCCATCACTGCGCTCTACTCCGTCATCTGCGTCGTGGGACTGCTGGGAAACGTCCTTGTTATGTACGGGGTGGTCAGGTAAATACAGGAGACAATTACATGAAATTAAAGTTGGTATTGATTTGTTTTACGCGCGTTTCATCCTCGATCCTCTCAGTAATAAAAGTGCCTCAGAAATAATGACTTATTTTCTTAAAACCTGAACAATCGTTTTAAGACAATTACAACGTTATTTATTTCTCCATGAAAACATTTATTTCAATTAATAGAAAAATTTATTGATTGAGTACATTGTCATCCTTATTGTTCCAAGAACTGACCCCCAGTGGGGTTTTCTCTTTATTATTCAGCTAACTCTGCATCCAAATGTCCGTTTTACAATTAAAAATAATAGCTTCTGGTTCAGGTTTTACACCGAAGATGGTGAAAGTTGTTGGTCCAGATGCAACATGTCAAATCTGCTGCAGGGTGTGTGTTTATCATTAAAAAGTTTTTTTGTAAGGATTGCACCTTTAATTTGTATAAATTGGCACTTTAAAAGGTGTGATAAGTGATCAAATAGACTTTTAAATTTAATTCTAAACCATAGTCAACACCACTCATGTAAAGAAAGAAAATACATTAAATTATGCATGCCATTTCCACTAACGTAATAAAACTTACATAATAAATAAATAAACCAAATTTACCATCTGTGATGATCCTCAGTAATTTTCCTGTGACACGTAAATCAATACAACCTTATTTTGTGTTCCTCGGTTCTCACCCAAAGCAATTTTAAGTGTTGGGCAGCAAATCATAATAGCAGCACTTAATTTACAATAACTCAGTCAGCAGATATAGACATGAGGCAATAACTGCAGGGCAGAAAAAGGTAGATTTATGGGGGCAAACAGTCAAAATCACTGGTGGTTTGTTTTTAAGTTCAACAGAGGCGAAAGACTAACATTCTAATGAAATTTGCTCCCTCATTAAGCATTAAGAGGTCAGAGCAAAAAAACAACAAAAAAACAGGGAAACAAAGCACTCAAGACACGGAGGAGAAAGGGCCAGCGAGAGAAGGATGGAGGCAACAACAGAAACCCTAACCCTGGGCTAACGAGCCAAACGAGGCAGAGAAACTAAACTAAACAGCTCAGTTATAGCCAAATTATTACAGGGAGTGCAGAATTATTAGGCAAGTTGTATTTTTGAGGAATAATGTTATTATTGAACAACAACCATGTTCTCAGTGAACCCAAAAAACTCAATATCAAAGCTGAATGTTTTTGGAAGTAGTTTTTAGTTTGTTTTTAGTTTTAGCTATTTTAGGGGGATATCTGTGTGTGCAGGTGACTATTACTGTCAAGTTCCTGGGAATGTGTTTAACCCACGACATGAAGAATCATCACAAGAAAGGGTGGAAAGTTCAAAACAATTTATTAGAGGAATCTAACAAAAAGTGTCCCTGGAATAAACCCAAACAGCTGGAGCCAGAGAGAGTCCAAAGTCCTGCAGGTGGAGGAGGTCGAGGAGGGCAGATGGAGTGAAGGGGTGAGTCCAGGAGAGGGAGCCAGGCGGGGTGGCAGAGGATAAGAGGAGAGGCGAACCGTGAAGTCCAGGTAGGTAATGGTTCTTTCCAGGTGAGTAATCCTGTACTGGTTCCGCTTCTTGGATGGAGGATCAGATCCAACAAACCCAGAGCGTCAGGGAAGATTGTCCAATAATCCTGGAGAGAAAATACAAACTTGAGTCCAAAAAATCCAACACAAGAGTCCAAGAATAATCCAAGAAATTTCCAAGAACTGTATCAGCCAATTATCAGCGTAGACACCAAGCTTCCTAGAACGAGAGGCCAGATACTACCGTGAGTAGCTAATCATCCAGCGCTGTGTAGTGGTTCCCTCTCCTCTTAAATAGAGCTCTGCTGTGGATGACCTGAGGAGCTGCAGCTGCCACTGATTACTGATACCCCGCAGCTGGTGAGCTCCCTCTCCTGAAATGAAGAACTCAAAGATGTTATAGAGATGGAGTACTCACCCCACCGCACAACAGTGCCCCCCCCCTCAACGGATGCCACCTGGCATCCTAGCAACCGCCTCCTCATACTCGAGGTCAGGGTCCTCGATGAAGGAGCGCGGGACCCAGGAGTGCTCCTCCGGGCCATACCCCTCCCAGTCGACCAGGTACTGGACTCCACGACCGCGGGGTCGGGAGTCGAGGATCCTCCGGACGGTGTAGACCAACCCACCCTTGTAGAGCCGGGCCGGCGGCGGAGGTGCAGGAGTGGGGCACAGAGGACTGGATACAATGGGCTTCACCAAGGAGATGTGAAAAATGGGGTGTACCTTCATGTTCCTGGGGAGGTCCAGCCTGACCGTGGAGGGAGTGGGTGTATCCAGGATCTTGAAGGGACCGATGTACCTGGGAGTGAGCTTCCTAGAAGAGGCCTTGAGCGGGATGTCCCCGGAAGACAGCCAAACGTCCTGTCCAGGAGAGTACAGCGGGGTGGGATGATGGTGTCGATCCGCCAGCTGCTTGTTTCTGGCAGCAGTACGCTCCAAAGCCGCCCGGGTAGCGGCCCATGCCCGTCTGGCCCCCCTGAGAAACTGCGGGATGGAGACTGAAACCGAGGCCTGCTGTGGAAACAGTGAGGGTTGGTAACCCAGTGACGCTTCGAACGGTGACTCACCTGTGGAGGTGGATACATGACAGTTGTGAGCATACTCAATCCATGCTAGATGTGTGCTCCAGGCGGTAGGCTGGGAGGAGCAGACACAACGCAGCATGGCGCCCAGTTCTTGATTCATACGCTCACTCTGCCCATTGGTCTGAGGATGGTGACCGGAAGTGAGGGCGACCCTGGCGCCCAGAGCCCCTGCAAACTCCTTCCAGACCCGAGCCACGAACTGGGGACCCCGGTCTGATAGAATCTCTGTGGGAATACCATGCAGTCTAAAAACATGCTTCACGAGGAGCTTGGCAGTAACGGTCGAAGGAGGGAGGCCTTTAAGAGGTACCAAATGACACGCCTTGGAAAATCTGTCAACCACTGTCATAATACATGTGAACCCCTGAAATTTTGGAAGACCTACTACGAAGTCAAGCGCAATGTGTGACCAAGGACGTGACGGACTGGGAAGGGGACAGAGGAGCCCAGCTGGGGCTCGGTGGTCCCCCTTTTGCTGAGCACACACGACATGCAGAAATATAGTTCTTAACGTCCCTGTACATGGAGGGCCACCAGAAGGTCTGTTTGATAAGGGCTAGGGTGCGACCTATGCCCGGATGAATGGAAAATCTCCCCGTGTGTGCCCAATGGATGACCTGTCCCCTAAGCGCCTGAGGAACGAATAGCCTTCCCGGAGGCCCCTTTGGGCCAGACTCGGTCTTAAGTGCCTCTAACACCCTGTCCCAAATCTCCCAGGTGACCCCACCCACCACACATGATGAAGGGAGGATGGGTTCGGGCTCGGGCTCTTGGTCTGGTGTGTACAGTCTGGACAGGGCATCGGGTTTAGTGTTCTTAGAACCAGGGCGATAGGAGATCTGGAAGTTGAAGCGAGAGAAAAACAACAACCACCTAAACTGGCGGGGATTAAGATGCTTAGCTTCCTTCAAATAAATCAAGTTCTTGTGATCAGTCCAGATAAGGAACGGCGTTTCCGCTCCTTCCAACCAATGCCTCCATTCCTCGATTGCGAGTTTCACTGCGAGCAGCTCCCGGTGTCCCACGTGAAAACGGCTCTCTGTCGGGGACAGCCGTCTGGAGAAAACGGCACAGGGGTGAAGCTTATTATCCTCGGGTGCTACCTGTGATAGGACCGCCCCCACCCCGGTGTCAGATGCATCCACCTCCAGCACGAACTGTCTCTGGGGATCCGGTCTGTGGAGTACCGGAGCGTCTGTGAAGCGCCTCTTAAGTTCCTGGAAAGCAGCCTCGGCTTCTGGGGACCAGACAAATGGGCGTTTCACAGAAGTTAAGTTAGTCAGAGGTGCAGCTACCTGGCTGTATCCTTTAATGAAGCGCCGGTAAAAGTTTGCGAAGCCGAGGAAACGCTGTAGCTGCTTCCAGGATGAGGGGGTAGGCCACTCCGTGACCCCGCTGACCTTCTCCGGAGCCGCTCGGAGTCTCCCGTGTTCCACAATGAACCTGAGAAACTTGACCTGAGGAACATGAAAAAAACATTTCTCTGCTTTGACATGTAAGAGATTCTCCAATAACCGCTGGAGAACCGCTCTTACATGTTTCACATGCTGTGCAGAGTCCTCAGAAGAAAATCAAAATGTCATCTAAGTACACAGTCACAAACTTGTTCAAGAAATCGCCCAACACAGAATTTACCAGCGCCTGGAACACCGCAGGAGCGTTAGTTAACCCAAAAGGCATAACTAAATATTCAAAATGTCCTATAGGTGTCTTAAAAGCCGTCTTCCACTCATCCCCTTGCCTGATGCGCACCAAGTGGTACGCATTCCTAAGATCCAGGCAGCTAAACACCTGCGCGTTCTGTACAGGCTCGAAGGTCGAACTGAGTAAAGGCAGCGGGTATTTATTATTTATGGTGATCTGGTTAAGCCCTCTATAGTCTATACAAGGTCTGAGGGTACCTTCCTTCTTCGGGACAAAAAAGAATCCCGCGCCCAGGGAAGAGGAAGAGGGACGAATGAGTCCGGCGGCCAGAGACTCCTGTATGTAGGTCTCCATACTCTCCTGCTCAGGTCTGGAGAGTTGGTAGAGACGACTGCTGGGAAGAGGAGCTCCAGGCAGCTGTTCTATACTACAGTCAAAGGGCCTGTGTGGAGGAAGAGAAGTAGCTCTGTCTTTACTGAATACCTGAGCGAGGTCATGATACTCCTGGGGTACGTTGGACAAATCTATCTCCTCTGCTGGCGGCGATCAGGACACGCTGCTGTCAGGGGAAGCAGCTCCGAGGCAGGACAGGGAGCATCTCGGACTCCACCCCTCCATGCTTCCCGTCTCCCAGTTCACCTGGGGATTGTGACGGAGGAGCCAAGGGTGACCCAGTACTAATGCTGTCTGCAGGGAGGGAAAAACAAAGAACACTATTTCTTCCAAGTGATTTCCCGACACCCTG